GGCTGCTGGACGGGGTCTTGGGCATCGGGTGGATCGTGAGACGTTGTACCCAGCAACTCCACCAGTCGTGTCACGTTACTCACGACAACTTGATATAATGGGCTCGTTGAGTCGACTAGCCAAGCAGCGGCTCAGAGAGATCGTCTTTGTCCTCTTTCACTCTTCGATCTCAGCCAAGCAAACCATGTGGCACTATCTTATCCATATTGGTCATTACTTTGCCTTTCTTGTGCCATAGTGAATACATCTGGTTTTTGACTATCCTAAGTTTCTTCACCGCTTTGACGCTTCTTTCGTCATTTAGAGCATGTTCGATTCTCTCCATAATATACCTTCTTACATCAGATACCTTAGGCTTATTAATCAACTTCGAAAACTCTGTCAGTTCTATTTTGTCTCTTGCGTTTAGGCTTTTATGCTTTGAGGTTTCTACATCATGTTCTTCATCTCCTGGGACGGCTTGCGTCCTGTTTAACTACCGTACCTTCAATTTCCAGTGCACATTTCTTAATGATATTCATCAGATTATTATTATTGCATCAAAACTAAGGCTGTTTTCCTCAATAAGAGTCTAGTATTCATTCTGAAGCGAGAATTCGAATTCCTGTGCTTTTCCTCTCAGTGCTAGCTTATTGATTGGTTTCTTGCATATCAGTTTCTGTAGTTTCTTCAAGTCCAAGCGAATTCGGCACCTTACCACTCTATGGTCACTGCATCGTACCTTGACAAGCACTTCCATATCCTGCACAATGCCTGGGTGTGGTACTTTCACCATTAGGGCTCCTCCATGTCCACTTATGGTTCACTTGTTTTCGGTAGAACGTATTCAAGATCCGTAAATTATTGCCTTCTGCGAATTCTACTTATTGAGTAGCCTGTTTGAAATCCTGCTTGTTCCTTTGGTTGATTGAATTCTAATGTTGTCTTATTTATGTTAGCAATTACCTTTGTAAATAGCTTGTATATGACGGAGAGCAAGCTGATCGGCCTGTATTTCCTCAAGTCCTTGTCAATTCTTTTCTTATGTATCAAGATGACGTTACCAACGAGAGAATAGTATACTGTGTCTTTACTTTATTAAAGGCTGACTTTATGTCTTCATAGAAGCGTTCAATCAAATGATCATCATGGCTCAATATAGGCATGTAGGCCTGTACCACCTTCATCTTCTACCTTTTGTTAAGCTTAATTATGATACTTTCTACCCTCTCACTGATGCTATAGTAATTCTCAGTGTTGCCAGCGATATTCTTGTGTATAAAAAACCCTACGCCTAGTTCTTTTCTGTCAACTAATTCACAGTAGCACAGGACGTGTCCTTTCTTTAGCACTGTATAAGCCTCACTTGTCCTCCTAACTTGGCTGAGCCCATTTACATTACATCTTATTTAACACCTTCCAATTCCTCGAATAGAACAGCTAGACTAGCCTCACCAGATAGCGCTCGAGCGTTGAACGTAGCCAAGACCAAATTTGGAGACTCCCTCAGTGCAGTTTTCTTAGATATTATCAAGACGGCTATACAAATGTCCCTCGGCTCTGCCTGGGACGAGTACCGTATATACTCGTGTAAGGGCCGCACTTTTTTTTCGAAAATTTTGCTAGGTGCGGCCCTTACACGAATCAGGCCGATTTAGTACAGGCAGTACAGGCCAAAGGTCTGTACTGTTTATGCAACAGTAGCAGAGTGCAAGAGTCACAAATGACATGCCAGAAATGTTTTTATTCGGATTCCATTTCGCTGTCCTCGTTCTCGGAGGAGCTCGCCTCGGCGTCCGCGTCTTCCCAGAGACGGTCATCTTCGGTGCCGTTCATGGAGTTCGAAATTCCCGTTACCTTGAAGCTTTTAGCAACTACTTCTACTGACATGGCACGCCACGCATTCAAAATCCATTCACACACCTGTTGGAGCGACGCCCGCTTCAGCCGTCCTGTAGGGGTCTTCTCGTGGACGCCTCCAGCCATCCATTCAGAGTAACATCGGCGAAATTCCACTTTGAATGGTCTGTTGACGCATACGTCGAGCGGCTGCAGCACACTCGTCAGGCCACCGGGAATGACGGCCAAGTCCGTACGAGTTGCGGCAACTCGGTTCTTGACGCGGTCGGTCAAGTGGCCCCTAAAGCTGTCCAAAACAAGGAGGGCTTTCCGTTGTAACAGCCCTCCAGGTCTGTTTGCCCAGACGGTCTTAATCCAGTCAACGACCAGTTCCTCGGACATCCAGCCCTTCTCTTGCGCACGTACGACGATTCCCTGAGGGAACTTCTCTTTTGGGAGAGTCTTCCTTTTAAATACGACGTACGGCGGAAGCCTCCTGCCGTCTGCCGTGATGCACAACATCACAGTGCACCTTTGGCGTTCTGCACCAGTCGTGCGCACAGACACACTTTTCGCACCTTTTAAATCCACTGTGGTGCTTTCCGGTGCATCGAACCACACAGGTGTCTGGTCCGCATTCCCAATTTGGGACAGGTCGTATTCATGCTCCCTCCTGAGAGCATTCACGAAGCGATGAAACTTAATGACGTGGTCTTCGTACTCGCGCGGCAGTTTTTGGCAAATCGTCGTTCGGCGCCGAATAGAAAGCTGGTTACGGTTCATAAACCGCGTAGCCCAGCCCCGACTTGCCTTGAATTGTGCCGGGGGTATTTCCATGTGGCGAGCGATGCTGAGGGCTTTGACGCGTATCATGTCAGTCGATACGGCGTAGCCGTCCCTTCGTGTGTCGACGACGTAGTTGACGAGCTCGCTTTCGAGTTGCGGGTACTTGCACTTTTTCCCGCGAAACGCCTTTCGGCTCCTGTTAGTAGCGGCGAGGGCATCTTTCTGATTCATCCAGTAACGCACGCGCTTCTCATCGACGTCGTACTTTCGTCCAGCTTCCCGCTTCCCGTGCTCCTCGGCATAGTCAATCACTTGCAGCTTAAATGCTGCAGTGAATGATCTCAGATGCCGGCCCATCGTCCGTCACGTGCGCTGGCTTCTGCAGGGTTCACTACAACCAACAAAGTGACACCGACGACACCGATCTGAAGTCGCGCTGCCAACGTATCGACACGATGCTAGGAACGATGCCAACAAAGAGGCCGCACAAGGCAAATATGGCGGCGCGCTGTCAACAGCGTGGTCGGCGCGTCGGCGGAAGTAGAATAAAAGCGGAAAAGCGTGCAGCGCCATCTGGCTGTAAATGAACTAACTACACTTTTCTGGCGGGACATTTTGAACTTTTGTTTTTTTTTTTCGAAATATCCGCTTTCAAAGTTGGGGTGCGGCCCTTACACGAGGGCGGCCCTTACACGAGTATATACGGTACAATCACTGACTCTACCAGACATTACACAGCCTTTTGCATCTCATTTTTAGCCCCGCAGGTGAGTATTGTACGGTTCTGCCAGAAATGACTTGCCAGATTCAAGCAAGAGACATATACGATAGTTCCTTAATGCATGCTTAAATACCTCTACCTCGGCCTTTTTGCACTGCGTTCGCCCTGTAGTGAAGCAATGTGAAATTGAAATCTCCCACCTCTCATGTCACAGCCACTAGGCGCCAACAGTGTGCAATATTCTAGTGCAAGCGTTGGCAACCTGTGGCCCATAAGGCAGTGTTATGCGATCTCCAGAACAGCCTTAGAGCCACCCTAGTCATTTCTTCTTTCAAGGCCGACATGGCAAATTCTAACCTTCAGGTGAGATGCTATTCGAAAAGAAAGTCTGCTCAATCTGTAACCTAGGCAAATTGAATTTTTACTGCATACATAAGCTTCTATGCTCAATACAAATATGTAATCAGTTTTATAATAAGTTGCATAGTTCTTGTTTTGTACCATGACAATGTGTAAAATATAGTTCTTTGTGAACACACTTTTTTTTTGCCACTAAATGTTTATACTTCTGAGCCATTAATGGCTCATGTTGCTCCACATTAACTGTTGAATGCAAATAACTAACAAGAAAGTACTTATAAAATAATTTATTTGACGAGAAAAATTGTAATGTTGGAAGTCTTGAATGCTCAGACAGTACTATTTGCTTAATTTAGGTTGGTAACTAATTGTATGGGCAATATAAAGTATTAAATGAAATACTTGTCCTCTTCACATGTTAAGGAATATGTAAGCAAAATTTCATACTGACCTGGCTATCGAAAGCACCGAAAACATAATGTCAAGACTCTATAAGTTGCCCAAATGGTGCCTTGAGAAAGATTCATTTTAAAGGTGTAAGTCAAAGCTCATTTATATGGCAAAGCTATGTTTTCTAAAATGATTTCTTCCATCATTACAGCTTGGAAATTATCCTTACTTTGAGCATGTGGCTTTGGTGAACGGCTCATGCCGTTCACCAAAGCCACATTCTCGAAGTAAGGATAAGTAAGTGGCTGCTTGCAATGGCAAGCAGCCAGGCGACAATGTACAGGGGACTTTAGTCAGTGAGTTATTTTTATTTTTAGGAGCCACCTTATGCGCTTTGAAAGTGAATTTAACCTACTTAGAGTTTAATTAGTCTTCCATTTCTTTGTTGTGAAAGCAGCAAAGCTAAACTTGTGAAAGCAAATAACAAAAAGATATATTATTTAAGAAAAAATGCATTTTTCGACTAGCATCTCCTCATGGAGTTAGACATGAACAAAGAAAGATCATTTATGGTTTGCATTCCTCCACCACTATGTGTTGGTCAATGAGAGATCTTGATATAGATAATTACGGGTTGGCTAAGAATGTTCAGCATCAAAAACGACATTTAAATTTTTTTTTTTCTGTCATCTACTTTTGTAAACTTACCCCCTAGTGACATGCGTACTGACAATACGCACAATTTCTATTCCAGTTTTGCACAGTATTGCCAATTTACCAAATTTTTTCTTCCCCTCCCTCCCGAGACTTGACTGGCTGTGCGGGCCCCCACCATGTCGACTTCGTGAAATTCGGCTCTCTGCTTGAAAAAGTTGCTCACCCCTGCTCTAGTGTGACCGTTTACATGTCAGGAAGGAGCACTCACAGTGCTGGTGGCTGCACGAGGAAACAGGTCATTCTGCAGGCGCAGCAGCCAGGCAGTGTTGCCCGTAGGCCGTCGCACCAGCACCTCAGCCCAGCCACAGCACCAGCACCCACACACATGACGCAGCACCAGCCCTGGTCGGCCACTTACTCTGGATGAATAAGGAATGCAGGAATTACTCTATTGTGATCTTAATTCAAGGGAAAGAGTATCTCCTTTACATTTTGAGCAAAAGCAACCAAGATGCCACCATGAAAGGCTAACTTTTTAAGCTCTTGGGGGAAGCTAGATACATGCTCTGACTGTATACAATCCTGCTTCAGGCAAGGCAAGATTACATTCATAATCTGTGAAGCACACAAAATGTAACAGCCATCCAGAATTTTATCAAGATAGCATTTAAGGAACTCAAAACTGGATTTGTTGTGTTTTTGCACTTAGTCCATGTTGTGTTTTTGCACTTACAGGATCGTTATCACCAGAAACCCACTGCATGCTACTCACGTCTCTCAGGACTCTAAATAAAGTTTCACCATGCATCCATCAGGTCAACTCATCCCATTAATCATTTTTTTAGCTTATGGCTAATACAAAGCACTGACCATCACTGCAACTCATATCCTTGTAGCAAGTGCAGGTAGGAAAAAAATCAGCCAACTTTCCGTTTCATATTTTCTTAGCTTCAGCGCAACCTTGTTGCATTATGCACATGCAGTCACATTATTCTCAAGCCAATGTCATTGTACTTAATGTTATTACTGTGTCAATGTTATTGTACTTAATGCTATTACTGTGTCATCAATATGTGTCATCAATATTGCTGTTGAATAGAGTTAGAGAACTGAGCAAAAAATCTAAGAGCCTCTTGCACAGTTTAGGCTGCGGGGGCGATTGGCAGGTTAGCGCTGTAGCAGTTAGTTCCAGCCAAAGGAAACTCAAAATGTTTTGCTTAATCTGTCCATTCTCTATTCTCTTCTATTTATTAAGAGCAGAAGGAGGAGGAAGAGGTGGTAAGGGGTTGGGCTGTGGAACAGACAGGGCGAGCAAACACGGATACAAGGAAGTGCAAACAAGTACACAAGAAAGCAGTCATGACGCCGCAAACACGGACTAACAACTGAAGGCGCACACAACAGCGGAAAATAAACAAGGCACGAGAACTTCTACCTGCGCATGCACATGCAATATGTGAACCTATCAATGAGGCACCCGTGGGAGTGAAGGATAACTGTTAATACATTTGATTTCATCTTTATGCAAGTTAACAGTTGGCTCATGCATGTGCCACCGCTATTATCGATATACCATGTCTCAATCCTCAGACACATTTCTCGATTTCTATGCCGATACAAAATTAAGCATACATCTGTGGAATGCAAGCGAAAACAAAGGAGAAAGGTGCTGCAGTAGTGCCCCTCTATCAACTTCATAACAAGGCATGTCCAACAAGGCAATGTGGTTGAAGAACCATTATTAGGGGTGTGCAAATACTCAAAATTTCGAACATTTTCAAATAGTGTTTGCTGTTTGATTTGATTTGAACTGATATTTTTACTACTTGAGCTATTCGAACTTCCTGAAGACAAATGCAGTTGATGTTCAATTAATAACGACCCCTTGAGATCTTGAATATGCTTCAACTCATCACATTCTTGTGTGGCGGTAAAGCTGCCTTTCAGGCTCTGCTATGGTCGAACTTTTTAAAGACAGTAAAATACGGTACACGTCCGATTAAAAGTAGCCCTGTCAAATTTGCAAATGCTTCACCTTACTACAAATACGCATTGCAGCAAAGCTGTCTTTCGTATTCTGCTTGTATTCAACTTAAAGGGGCACTGAAACACTTTTTTGAGTAATCATAGAATGAATTCACTGAAAAAGCGTATTACCTCACAAATTGTACGCCATGAAAATTTTAAGAATCCGTCCAGTACGAGTGGAGTTACAAAGATTTTTCACACGCTGCAATCCCATTCTCTCTTCTCTCATCCCGACGAAAGTGCTAGAAGCTGAGCAGGGAGGGATGGGAGGGGCAAACAAAAAATGTCACTCATGACTTGTGACCTTGAGCATGTTTTTTTTTTCTTTTTTTTTTCTTCGAATACGCGGTTTTTTCAGTGCGATCACGCACACACGCGTGGACAAGCGACAACATCTTGCGGCGACCTCTGTAACAACCGAGCGCGCCATGTTCAAATCAACCAATGGCTGATAGATAGGCTTACTGGGCTTATTTTTCGTGATTTGTCGAGAGAAGAGAAAGCTGTCTTTAGCTGAAATTGATAATTTATTGTGAATTCCAGGCCGCGTGCTGCGCTACAATATTTTGCTCGCCTGTTGTCGGAAGCCTCTATTACCAGCCTTTTCTGACTATGCTCAAAAATTGTTGCAGGGCCCCTTTAAGAAAACGCTGGTTCCAACCAACCACCTCAATTCATGGTGTTTTGGAGCTAGAATTTGGGCAGGAAGTCCGAAAAATAGGCTGCTGAAGATTTTTAGCATACAAAATTTCAAGTGTTCTTGTATGTTGATGTCTGTCTACGAGGCAGATTTGAAACATTTAACTCGAAGGGAGCAAAACCTTGTCTGCCACATCTTTTGGGCTTCCAAAGAAGTTGAAATAGGAGGAGAGGCTAAGGAAATGCCCTCTTTGCTTTTCACTATAATAATGATTGTTCGAGTTTATGTCCCAAACCCCCCATATGACTATGAAAGATGCCGCAGTGGAGGGCGCTGGAAATTCTCACCACCTAGGGTTACTTAACGTGCACATAAATCTAAGGACATGGGCCTCATGCACTTTCGCCTCCATCGAAAATGCAGCTGCCACGACCAGAATTCAATGCCGCAAACTGTGGGTGACCAACTGTGTACATTAGCCACTAGACCACCGTGGTGGATTCTTGCCTTTCACGTGGAAAGTGTTGTCGGCAACACTTTGGTAGCATTTCATGTACTTATACAATATGGCTTTTGCCTTACCCCATTATTGATAAGACAGCTATTAAATACCACCAAGCTAGGGCTCCCTTAACCTAGAAAAAAGAAGCACTTTCGTGGTGCCATATCTCGTAAAAATATGCTTTGGAATTCCCTTCAACTTCTTTTCCCTGCGATTTTGCTTTAAACTATTTCAAAAATATTTTTAAAAATATTCGATTCGATTTGCACTCACAGTTTGGCATTCGTTTTGCACTCGCACTTTAGTTTTCGAATTCGCTTTGCACTCAAGATTTTGCTATTTGCACAGCTCTAATATGGTGTCAACGCCATAACCCAGTAAACTGACTCATGAGCCTACTTACTTGAACTCGCTCAGATCAAGCCGTGACTTTGAATCTGAGTGAGTAATAATTTGGTGAATTTGAGTCCGAGTGAGTCCAGTGGAAGCTTATTTCCGGATGTGTGAGTTCGAGTGAGTGTGGCTAAGAGAAATTTTCGTGAGCGTGAGTCCGAGTAAGTCCAGAGCACAAGACATATTTCTTGAGCGAGTCTGAGTGAGTTCCATTTTTTTTTCCCTGACCTATGGTCCTATCTACTCATCTTCAGCATTATCAGCCTTACCTGGATTCACGTTTGTGTTCACGTCTACTCACATCTATTCCAAAGCAGTATCGTTCATACACCATTTCAATAATTTATTTGTCAGAGGCATGAATTATGCAGGGGGGTGCCTGTTACACTCAACAATATACTTCACGACCAACATGTTCACTACACACTCTTCACATCCTTTATTCTCCGTACCACGCATCCAATATGCACAACTTCTTCCTCGTACCCTCGTCTCTCTCCTCCCGTATTCACACGCCCGCAGGCTTCTGTTCACTCAGCACTCCCACCATCTTGTTCCTCCACTGTCAAGAACACACAGCCTCCGAGCCTCGCGCCCAACCCACACGCACTCCCTGCTCCATCTCACCTCTCACATGCCATTACCTCCTTCTTCCCCCCAGTCGATTCTTTTGAGTAAGTTCTTGATAAATGTATTTTATATCGTCATCTCTTTCAAGAAAAATGTCCTTACTCATTTGTAACCACTCACAACTCATATTCCAAGGTACTACAGTATACACCACTTATAACGTAACTACTTATAGTGCGGAGCCATTTATGATGCGGCCCTTTATGACTCCAGTTTACCCTCCCATAGAACCTCATGTATACGCATGCGGCTTATTGTGCACTCCCCCAAGATTGAAGACCAGTTATAATGCGGTTGCCAGAAAGTCAGTGCGACAAAGGCAGTAGCGAGTGCACTTCGTAAAGGAGGTGCGCTGGGTGCGCCACTGGGTGCGCCGCTGGGGAGCGAGCGACGAGGTCAATATGCAGGAGAAGGGGACCTGGAGTGAATGAACGAAGAGCAAGTGAAGAAAAAGAAAAGGAAAAAAGACCGTCGCACACTGCCTGGACTCGCTGAGAAGGAGAGTGGTTGCCTTGGCGACAGATAAGCTTTTGCACAAGCGCGTGGCTCAACATGGCATCTGCGATCCCGTCCTTATCTGCTACGCTTAACAGTTTCTTGTCAAGAACAGCATCGTCTTTATCAAGCTTGCTACTTCGTTTCGCTATTCGAGCTTTCGCCTTTGCTGCCAGTGCGCTGTCATACGTAAGCTTGGCAGGTTTTCATCGCCGTTGATCTCCCGACCGCGAACTTCGTATCATGCACGCTGTTCTTGGTTCATTGTTTGATGCAACCTTTTCAATGCCGGCAAACTTCCCGCCACAACATATAGAATGGAAGTGTAGGCCTAATCAGCGTTGGTTAAGTTTCCGTAGCGGTCGCGTGCTATCTAAGTTGCAGTTTGGTACAGAATCAATGAAACGCTTTGCAGTGGCTGCACGTGACGGGAAGGGATACATAACGTTAATGAAAACAATGGTGACACATGTAGCGCTTGAATAGTGGTTTGCAATTTGACTGCGATGTCTTGAAATTGGGTGCGCACTTGTGAAATCAAATGCTTGCCTTTCGACGTTAATTTATTTTTTTAACACTCATAAATTTAAATGGCTCTAAGCACCACATATCGCATGCTTCGATTCTCGGACACACGAAGCTGCATGCTCAACATGCTTGACACAAATTCAGCTCTTGAAAAAGGCTGTTTTGGTTATAATGCAGCACCCCTTGTAGTGATGATATTGGCGACCCCCACAACTTACGTTATAAGCGGTCTATACTGTATATGAAAAGGTGCCAGGAAGAGCACGGAATACGTGAGATATTGGTGTTAAAGAGCATTGACATTTTGGTCGAGCAAGCCACGGCTCACCAAATCATGAGTACGGGTGAGTGATATTTTGGTAACATTGAGTTCGAGCGAGTTCAGTTCAAAATTTTCCTGAGCGTGAATCTGAGTGAGTCAAGCTAAGGAAAATTTTGGTGAGTGAGTTCGAGTGAGCCCTATGTACAAAATTTATTTTATAAGTGAATCTAACTAAGTTAGCTTCACAATTTTTGCAAACTTATGGCCAGCAAAGAGGACTAAAGGACGTGCACATATCACAAGGACCACATGTGTTAATAGGGCCAACATATACGAAGAACTTTTGCTAGTGTGCTTCCTTCCTGGCCTGGCTGATAAATGTGTAACAATAATGACACTGGTTAGCAAACAAACACCATGTCAGAAATTTGAGCTCACACACGGCGCTCAAGGCTAAGGTCATCCTGAGTTACTGGCAGGGGACGTAACCCAGACGCACGACCTGCAGCTTCTGACTGATGCCTTCGTCGCTGCTGCTGCTGTTGCTGCTGCTGCTGCAAAGGAGGCTGCTTATGCTGATGCATACTCATTTCCTCCCCAGGTCCAGGTGCTGCACAACATCAAGAGAAGAATTTTCAAGCACTGCAGCAAAATTGCAATGGATGGAATATACAGGATGGAAAAATTACAGTGCAGCTTTGAAATAACTTTACCACATAATTACATCAAGGAGTTTCCTTTCCTACACCTGCGAATAGTCTTCTCTCTAATTGCTGTGCCACTGTAATAATGCAGAACATTTTTTTTTGCGAGACTAATGGGCCAGCATTAGCAAGCGTACACTGAATTTTACACTGAATAAATGCTATGAAAGGGGCCATGACAGCCTATTTTTTATCATCTGTGTTATTGAGGCTAAATCTTTGAGCATTCACAAATAACCTGGTGAAATTTTAACACATTTCGTCAACCACTTAATTGATAACGGAATATTTTTATAAAAATGCACGGGGCCCGAGAGTCGGGCAGCACAGGTGCACTTGTGAGCCGTGACGTGCCACCCAGCATTGCGAATGAGTGTCGGCATTCTGGTATTGTTCCATGGTCAGCTATGCATTTCGATGCACTGCAATGTTACGGGTAGGAACCTTGCACACAGCTCTCGGACAAATTCCGCGAGTAGCGTTTCCAGTTTGGGGTGCACTTCAATCCGTCCACAAAACAAAGGTTTTTTTTTTTTTTTTTTTTTTGGGGGGGGGTGTTGCAGAATGTGATGCCCTGCTTTTGGCTCCTCCAGTATCAGACGCTTTTCTCTGACGCACCGAATGCCCATTGTGCTCCCAGGTTGCCGTGTGCTTCGGCATACCCGATAACTATTTTCGTAGGGGGGACATGCCTTTGGGAACCAACTTTCTTGTTTCTGGTTGGGTCTCGATGAAAATTGGCACAGACACAAAGAATGGCCTCAAATGATTTATTTGTGGGGTTTAACATTCCAAAACCACCATATGATTATGAGAGACGTCGTAGTGGAGGACTCCGGAAATTTCGACCACCTGGGGTTCTTTAACGTGCACTCAAATCTGAGTACACGGGCCTACAACATTTCTGCCTCCATTGGAAATGCAGCCGCCACAGCCGGGATTTGATCCCGCGACCTGCAAGTCAGCAGCCGAGTACCTTAGCCACTAGACCACCATGACGGGCCAAGAATGACCTCAAAGTGCTCCATAAAAATTTCAAGGCAATACCACAAAAACTTGATGAGAGACAGACAGACAGACAGACAAAGAACTTTATTGGTTGATGAGAGACAAATTATTTCTTTATTGAACTCCGTGCAGAGGCTGGAGAATTTATAACATGACATAAATAGTTGGTAATTACTGCATGCGCAACCATATGTGTGCTGAAGGGGGCTGCATTTTCAAAATAATCTTTTTGCAACACTAAAACGAGTATTTAACGTTTTATCTAGCGATGCTGGAAAGAGCACACTTACACTACAAACAAGAAGTCCTATGAATAATTTTGAAGAAGTAAAATGAAAAAAAAAAAAAAAGATCGCAGCCCCCTGAAGCACAGTTCAAAGAGCGCCACAAAACAAACAGAATCAAAGTGATTGCCAAGATAACTGCTCCACGAGTGAGCATAATGCTAAAAAACAGAATTGAGAAAACTGCATTAAATGTTTCCCCTTTGTTTTTACATCTCTAAAACACAAAAATTGTGATTTTTGGTTTACCTTGTGCTTCGGTACTTCGGTGTCGAATTCACCATTTATGAGACACCATGTGCATGTCTCTGCAGCCAGGCAAAATTGTCACAACAGGCAGCAAGTGCTAGTTACTGCTCACCACCATTTATCAACTGAATAATATTCTGTGTTGAGTACGCAGCTGCTGAGTACACAGCTGCTGAGTACGCAGCTGGTCGCCCCGAGAGATTTCTTATAACTACACAGCTGTCTAACTACACAGCTGTCACCTGTCTGCTTCAATTGCCCCTAAAATTACAATGGTAACTTATGTACAGTATAGACCGCCTATAACGTAAGTCGCGGGAGTCGCGAATATTCGCACTATAAGCTATACCGCACTACAGTGGAATCTCTATCATACAATTACAGTTGATGCGAATTTCCCTATATTAATTTTGCAGTTACTTCAGATAGACTAGATTATATAAAATATGCCGTGATTCGGAGTTATATGAACGGTTTCCCCAGACACCGCGAATGACACGAACTTCGACTGCTGCACGCAGGCGGTGCAACAAGGTTTGTCTGTGAGAGGAAAGCCCGTTCTCACTTGGCTTTAAAGAGAGCGAATGTGATAAAACTCACTAGAACTTCCCTCACTTCGCCGGTAGAATTGTGGCCGAAAAAGGATGCCGCGAGGTCGACGTGAAAAAAAAAAAAAAAAATCGGTCTGGGACCAATTTTGCCGCCATGCAATAGTGAATAGCCTTTCTGGTACGGCTTTGACTACACCGGCTGTGCTAGCTCTCAAATCCACCTGATGTAAACAACCAGCCGTGCATTCAAGATAGCGGCCAAGACGTCCGCGAGTGCAGTAGCTCGCGTCGGCGCAATCGCGAATTACCCGCACAAAATGACAAAGTTCATAATCTTGAAAAAGACGTGCTCATTGAGAGCCTGGTTTGGATTACGATTGCTGCGAACACCGAAAAAAGAAGGTGCAGCAACAGCGAGTTGGCATGCCCTAACGTGTCTCTCTTTTGAACTGCCAGGTAAATCTGTGGCCGCCGGCGCCGGTGCGTCTGCTCGTGTAGTTTATTTCGATGTATCTCCCGAAACAACATTTGTAAAGGTGTAAACTGTTTCTTTTCAGTCCTTTGCATGTATCACTAGAACTCAGTGGTGATTTTAATGCTCAGGACTAAATTCTCATGTGGCAAAGATGGCAGCGGTAGCTTGTATATGAGGGGCAGAACGAATATGAACATTTTCGACGGGCGCAGATGTGGTTCTGCGGCCGCTCTGGCATTTCCACTTGAAATTCTCTAGTGTGAATTCCCTTGACCTGTTTTTTTTTCTTTGTATCAACTTCGCGGTGCATTTTTTCAGCTGCTCAAGTAGCGAAGTGAGTGAATTTTCAATAAGTTTTGCCACTTTCGCTCCCTTTGATGCCAAGTGTGAATGCGCCTTATAGCGCCAGCAGCATGAGTGAGGGAACCACGGCACATTATTGAGAAAAGGCGAAAGCAGGAACGTTCAAAAGAACACCATGAAGTTTTTTAGCAAGAAGTAGTTTACCTCCCCCCCCCCAAAAAATGAATTCTAGTTCATCTTCATGATAGCTTAAACTTGTTATTGGTTCATACGAATCGAGGATGATACGAATATTTGGATGCTCCCTTTGAATTCGATTCATATCATCAAGATTCTACTGTATGAGCAAAACAACCTTTTTCAAAGGCTGCACTTGCGCAAAACATGTTTAGCATGCAGCCTCGCGTATTCGAGAATCGAAGCAATGCACGGTGCTATAAGCATATATATTTTGAAATGTTAAAAAAAAAAATGAACTGCCAAAGATGTGCCTCCCCAACGAAATAAACGCGAAAAAGGAGGGGGGGTCTAACAAAAGAAAGCACCATAGTGGAAATTCACCGACTACTTCTAAAACCGCCTCGATTAGGCGCATTACAAAGACAGATATGTGGGGTTTAACATCCCAAAACCACCATATGATTATGAAAGACGCCGTAGGGGAAGGCTTCGGAAATTTTGACCACCTGGGGTTCACGTGCACCCAAATCTGAGCACACGAGCCCACAGCATTTCCGCTTCCATCAGAAATGCAGCCGACGCAGCCGGGATACGATCCCGCGACCTGCGGGTCAGCAGCCGAGTACTTTAGCCACTAAACCATCGGGGCGGGGCAGCACATTACAAAGAAACTATGTCGAATCACGTTCAGAATTTAACACGCTAAAAGACTCCAATCATTTGACCTCACGGGCATGCACCCGATTTCAAGACATCGCAGTCAAATTGTGAACCACCGTTCGAGCACTACATGTGCCGCACTCGTTTTCATTAACAACATGTATCCCTTCCCGTCAAGTGGAGCCACCGCAAAGAGTTTCGTTAATTCCGTACCAAACCGCAACCTAAAAATAGCAAGCGATTGCTACTGAAATGCATCCAACGCTGATTAGACCTAGCCTGCCGTGTGGTACAACGTTGCTTCGGTATGTTGTCATGGGAAGGAAGTTTCTCCAAGACATGACGATGATGTGTCGAAAAGATCCCACTCAAGCACTGAACCAAGAACAGCGTGCGTGATACGAAGTTTGGATTTGCGGCTGGAAGATCAACAACAAAAACCCACCAAGCTTGCACAAGACCTGTCACGTGAAACGTGAAAGCTCGCGCCATAATATTATAAACACTTTTTAAATTTATGGACGAAATAGCAAATGCGATATCTATAACAAGCTCCATAACGACCATGCTTTTCCCAACAGGGAACAGTTAAGCGCAGTTAATAAGGGCGGGATCAAACATGCCCTGTCGAGCTGCGCACGCGGTTGGAGCCACTTTAATGACACATTCACTGCAGCCATGTTGCCGCCAGTGCAAAGACAGCGAGCCCGCACAGCAGGCCGGGATCTTCTTTTTCTTTTATTCTCTCCGCCTTTGTTCGTTCACACGGCGTCCCCTCCGTAATGACCTCGTTGCTTGCTCCCCCCAGCGCATCTCCTTTCAGACGCGAATTCTCTACCGTGTTTGCCGCAAAGACTTTCGGAAACCACATTATAACCGGTCTTTCATTTTGGGGGGACTGCACAATAAGCGGTATGCGTACACATGAGGTTCTATGGGAGGGTAAGCGGGAGTCGAAAAAGACAGTATTGTAATCGGTCCTGCACAATAAGCGATCACATTAGAAGTGGTCTACACTGTAATTTGAATGCCTGCCACATTTTTAATTTTTCTTAAATGACTGCAAAAAATCACGTCTATAGTATGTTTCATTACTTTGGTTCAGCACTACCAAAGCTACGGGGTGTAAGAAAGCCACACGCTTGCGTAGCGAAACGTAGTACCACATATAAGTGCCTTAAAACTGACAGGGTTTG